ATTAAAAAATTTAAATATTAAAAAAATTAGTAAAAATCTTCGCAGGCAAATTTGCCTATGTTACAATTTAAGGGATAATAAAAATGTATTAATAATATATAAGATTTTTAACAAAAATTTCTTTATAGAAATAAGGAAGGTGTATAACTAATTCATTTTCAAGAATTAATAAACTTATTTTAAAGATTTGTAACTAATTTTTCTTTAAGAATTAGTAGACTTTATTCTAGAAACTTTTTTGAGTTGAATTCTTTTATGTTTATAAAATAAGCACCTTTGTAAAATTCTTTCTTGGTTGTTCATTCTAGCAAAAGCCATTTTACAAAATAGCATCACAAAGATATTGTATATATAAAATAAACTTTCTTAATATTTAATTTAGGCAATCAAATTAGCAAGAGCTATTTTTATAGTATAATGATATCACAAAAGCAACTAGAGTTTATTTAAAAATATTGTTACAATGCTATAGCCTTATTGGTATTGTTATAGCAAATTAAAAAGCCAAATCTAAATAAAAAAATAAAGTTTAATAGTAAGTTTAATCTATTCTTTATATTTAGCTTTTTTGTTTTTTTTTTATAATAATAATTTTTTTTGCTTTATCAAAGACTTCACTAAAGATGATAATAGGTTGTAAGTTGATTTATTGGATATAGAAAATTTAACATTTAGAGAAAAAGTTAAAATTAAAATAACTAACTTTTTAATAAAAATTATTATAAAAAATGAAAACAAAAAGCTTGTATTGTTAAGAGGTGTGGTGACTTAGTGTAGTGGTCTAGTCGTCACTCTCTCCAAGTGGCAGGTCTAGAGTTCAAATTCTACAGATGATGAATTTTGAAAAATAGCCTATGCTACAGTTTATGGTTATTGATTATCAGTTGGTAGGCCTCCACATGGACTGGGTAGGGCCGGGTAATAGCAATACCCTAACTCTACCTGTTTGTGTAAGGGCTTAATTTTTAAGCCCTACCCTACTCTAGGGCCCAAAATTTAATACCCTAGCCCAGTCTGTTGGGCCCACAGGTACCCATGAGCCCAACTTCACTATATTCAAAACTACAAGCACCGCTTATACGTAGTAAAATAAAACCCTCCTAGTAGTAAGTTTATTAACTGATAATAAATAATTTTCTTTAGCGGCCCAAAAAACCATATGCAAATATATTACACGAATATGCAAAATGTGCATATTCGTCTTTTAAGCTACGTACGTACATACCCATTTTATATGAACTTTGCAAAATAGTAATAGAGATAACATAATATAGAATTCACAATAGCTTTCAAGGAGTAGCGCAAAATTTTGGCAGTCTCATGATTTTTTGATTGTAAGATTAATGTGTAACTTAAAAAGAAATCGCAAACGCAAAAGTCAAAACTTGGATAGTCACGGGACTGCCAATTTTTTGCGGCATCATTTCAGCATTTTCATTTTAACAATGAGCGCCACTACAATTATTGAATATCTTTGATTTTTATAATGTTATAGGAATGGCTAAATTGCGTTGTAATATTGTTGCGCATTATTTTGACCATTAGAAAATCGCATTATTGTAGTACTCGAGAACGCCTTAATTTGAGAATATGGTAATTATAATCTTACATTTAGTCTTTATTTGTTATTTGGAATATTTTAAGACGATATTCTATACGTACACGTAAAACCTGTAGCTTTGCCACAAGCAATAAGCTATTAATATAATTTTAAAGACAAATTTAATTGTATTTCTTTCAAATACCATTATATTTTAGGTATCACTTCAACTTTATTTTTATTGTATCTTTTTTTTTTTTTTTTAATTACAGTATTCAGTTATTATTAACAATCACTGAAGCGAAAAAGCTTATTATAATTGAAGTAGAATACTTTATACGAATAAATTGTGTAGACAAAAAAACATTCGTATACTATTGAAATTCTACTAAGATGAGAAATAATATGAAATTATCCAAGTGCAACGGCACTTTCTTATTTACATGATCCAATTCAAAGTATAATGAGATTGATCAATTTTCTCTTCTTATCGATTTGTTGATTATTTTTAAACCAATTATCAAATAGAATTGAAAATGCAAATTTAACCCATTCCTAATCGTAATCTATAAAAAAAAATGCTGGTAATAAAAGAATAATAATTAATTATTGCAGTTGAATAACCATATATAATATAAAATAAAGGTTTATTATTCATTATATGATCTTTACATTTGACCAGATTATAAGCTCCAATCAAACTTTGCTGCGGCTTCTAACCAATTCCGCTGACACATTAATGCTGTTATTGTGTCTGGGTTTAATGAAGTACGAACATCATCAATAATACGCCCTGCACAGCTAAACATTTGTTCGGATGCTACACTGGTAGATGGTATTGCAAGAAAGTCTTGAGCCATGGCTAAC